GTTGAAAACTTCATCAAATTTGTTATTAACCTTTTATTGCCCAGATTAATTTTGTCAAAAAAAATTTAATCAAATTTTTCTATTTTTGTTTAGTTTCTGAAGAAACTTGCAAACACAGCGAAACCACTGAGAAATAAAAAGCTTGGAAATAATTATTTTATGGTCCCATCGTGGTAAGACTGACTCGCAAAGAGTTAATTATGTAATGACATATTGATAAAACATTGATTTTAAAGTCAACTTTAAATCGCTGTTGAAAGTAAATGCAACATCATCTTGTATATGCGTTATACTAAGAGATATTGTATGTATCGACCGATCTACGCTGCTCTGACACTTTTATTGCTGAGGCATATGTAAATGTCGCCGAAGATTAATGACGTGTTTATTAACGATCCGGTCCGATACATTAATTACGCAACATCAGTTCCCTTTCCGTCTATGCAACTATGTTTTTCTTTTTTTTTACCTTTCTTCTTCTCTATTCTCAGGAACGGCGCGCGTGAATTTATTACGGTTTTTAAGCTAATAATAAAAATAGTTGTGCGGTGGTGCGGCTTTTTAGCGTTTCGAAAGAATATAAATGGGAATAGTTACCGGGCTATTCCAGCAGAAAGCCCTTCCAGACTGTCGACAGTGAGCTCATGAAATCTGTAAGGATTGCACAAAGTGGCCTAGCCGAAAAGAGATTGAAATCGATCGGGCCTAAAAGCTAAAGAAGCACGGAGCAAAATAGAAGATTGAAGTAGCAAAAAAAAAGAATATTGGCATAGAAGAGTCATAGAAGTAAGGAGCAATATGAATAATCCTCTTTTTTGGAAGGGAAAGTAAATGTAGATTTTTTTTTGCTTTGGTAACAATATCGGTTTTTTTTTTGGAAACGACCTAAAGTGGATTACGTACCTCAAAGTATATTTGTATGTTTAAACCAATTCTTTAACACTTTTATTAATCTATTTATTTAATAATTCCTTCAGTTTTATATATTTAATACAAATTTTCTATATTTAATCCAATGTATTAAATATTAATGTACAAAAACAGGACTCTACGCTGGCCAGACTGTTTGCCGCATTTTTTGGTATAAATTTTTTTTTTAAATCATAATATAAAATATATATAATATTTGTGTTTTATTGTGGCTCAACTAGTTTCGATAACGACGAAAATCTTTTTATTATTTTAAATAAAATAAATTCAATTTTAGAACCACAATATACTTGTTAAGGTATGAAATAATAATTAAGAAAAATCTTAATACGTTAGCTAAAACTCAATTTATGGACATAAGGACATAGGCCTGCATAAAATAGTACGTTAAATGGATCTGAATTTTTATACAAATACAGGCATTTTTTAGGTTTGCTATAAAAAACCATTTGTTCTCACGAACGTACATCATTATATTAACGTACATACATACAATTAGACAAATCCTATGGACTAAATGACCACATTCAAGTATTTTAAATTTATTTTGCTAAACGAGTTTCTAATGATTAATTTCTTGTTGGAGGCTTTAATCCCTTCAGTTTTACATATTTAATACAATTTTGCTATATTTAATCCAATTTTTAAACCACAATAAGCTTTTTAATGTTTTATATAAAAACCAGACTAAAGGAAGTATTTCTACTATATAGATTCAATATGAAGAAATTTTTTGACAAAAAACCTTTAAATTATATGTAATAGAACAAATCCTATTTCCAAAGTACAATAAACTTGTTAAGGAATGAAATATTAATTAACAAAAATAGTACTAAACGAGGTTTTAATGATTCATTGCTTGATGAAGGCTTTAATCCCTTTATTTCTATATAATTATTACAATTTACCTACAATTTATCTATTAATTGACAAAAACAGGACTAAACGAAATATTGTTCTATACATGTTTAATATTAAGAAAATTAATGACGAAAATCTTTAAGTTAGAAAAAATAGTAAATTGAAATTGATTTTATTGAAAACCGCTGCAAAATGTATACATTTGTGAATGAGTTGAATGAAACGTTCTAAAATAGATACAAAGATGTGTATGAAATTTCGTCGCGCGTCTAGACGATAATAAAAAAAATAATTTATTCCGAATAATTTCGACAAGGAACATAAACTACCGAATACATTAATTCCATGTCTCGGCTGAATTTCTCGGAAATACGCATAAACATTGAATGGATGAATGAAACGGATTAAAATCACATAAAAAGATGTTTAGAAAATTCTGACTGAAATGCAGACGATAATAAAAAATAATAATTTATTCCAAATAACTTTGATAAGAATGAATAATAATTATTTCAATGTCTAGCCTATTTTTTTTTTTAATAATTTCATTGAATTCCTTTCCTTTTAAATTATTTTTATTACAGAAATTGCGTATCGCACAATTTACTTGTCATGTAACAATTTGTGTAAATGTGCAACTTGGCAAGTGTTTATATCGACACGGTACGAGTATTTTAACAAGTAAATATAATTGATACTTTATTTGACAATTTCACAAATTGTTATTGTTATTGGCGTATATATCCGCCCAGATTTTTTTTATGCTCATACAATATAACAGACATTTTGTATAAAGTAAACCACAATTAAACGTATTGCATGTAGTTGAAACATCTGTTGAGGAAAGTTCGTAATTATGTTTATTTTTTATTGCTTTTCTCCGAGTTGCTCAAGTTCCCGACACTTCCATATTTCTCTTCCCGTTCCATCACTCAGTCAACTAGTTCGTGCTTGCAGCGCATTTTACTACTCTATTTGATGTCAGGATTTTGTATAAACAACAGATGCCTTTATCAACATAATGCATGTCAATGAGAGAAAACTTTTACCTCTCTTTATAATATTTGTATTTAAACTTCATGTTATATAGAAACATAAATTATATTTCAAAATTAAATTAATACAACTAAAGTGTTGCATTATTACGTAAATATTTGCTAATAGTTGGCTCAGCTTACAAAATAATTTAAAAGCTCAGTTTCATGTTTCGTTCAATCAGACTAGTACAATCTGCATCACACTTAGTTGAACTTGATTTGAAGTAATCGAACTGTATAAAATCAATGAGTATAGCTACTGCTTAAACTGAATGAATTGCTACAGTAATCACTCAAGCGTTATGAGGAAAAATAATACGTTTTTCATTCTAAATTTTAACAACAATCCTTTATAAATTGTGTTAGGTTTGTTTATATTAAATTTATTTTTATAGAAGTAAGAATACCTTATTTGACATATTAAATCTTTTAAAAGTTTTTTTTGTTCGAAGTAGAATTGTTCACTAGATCAATTACTTCCAAATGAAAAACTTAATACGTTAGCTAAAACTCAATTTACGGACATAAGGCCTGCATAAAATAGTACGTTAAAAAACCATTGTTCACACCAACGTACACCATGAACATACACTTTATGATTTGCTTATAGTTAAAATATAAGCTATAAACAAACCTATTTGTTCACACGAACGTACATCATTATATTAACGTACATACATACAATTAGACAACTCCTATGGACTAAATGGCCACATTCAAGTATTTAAAATTTATATTCTACAAATTATTAAAAATTAGTATGATTTATCTCTATGAGTTTATGGAATACAAATCACAATTATGCTAGATACAGCTATAACTCGCATAGTCCGGGTAATCGGTGTCTCTAATATTCCGGACTGTATAAAACCGGACTAACCGAGGAAATAAATACATACAAAACAAATAAACCGCACCAGAAGTGACATGACTATTGCTATTTTTTAAAATTTAAGTTTAGCTTGCTCTTGATCGGACTTTAGTGAATCTAGATACAAAAGTATCTAAACAATTACATTATAAACATACAATGCTATGAGTTTAAAGTCGATCAGATAATTTTGGATTTAGAAATTAAGTACTTTCTCTAAAACCATGATAGAACAGTTAATAATCTCCATTCTTCAATCTCCATCCACCCTCGTTTCCTTACTCGTCCTCCTCCTCTCCTCCTCCGCCCCAGTAAACTGAAGGCTGTATCAGTTCTAAAATTTATTAATTCCCCCGTTGTAAGCGAGGCGCACTTTTGTGTTTCCTTTTATGTTCGTAGCCGCATTAATTACTCCGTGAGTGATCACGTTTCCAACTCGTGAACAAGCAACTTTTCACTTAGAATAGTTTCCACATTAACGCCCCTGTCCAACTTTTTATTTCTTCGACTTTCCTTTCCCTTTCCCACCCATTGCGGTCCCTAATTTCGTATCGTAACTGCGACTAAATTAATTTCTGGGCGTAAGGAACTTTCCGACATTCTCGGAAAATTTTAAAATTACTTTTTTTCATATTAACACTTTGCATACACTATACTTTACGCTTGTAATACACAATAAATATTCGTTTTTGATGTAAAACATTATTTTCAATTTGCTTGTCTTATACAGTTTAATTCCGTAATGCTCTGTCCGCACTGTACGTTACTTGAGACATAAAGGTACGAATTTATGTACGTTAACTAAACACTCACAAAATTACCGTACGCTAGGCGAATGTACGTTAATTTTACCTGCCAAATTATCGATTACCAGTCTAGTGTTAAGTTTACATACATAAGTTAACTGAGCAAATGAATATTAATGGACAATTAGTTTGATGTGTGATTTTAATTGCTTTTTGGTGTAAATATTCTACTAAAATACTACTTACATTGTTACAATTGATTTTTCATTTGAATATACATATACTATGTTCACATGAACGTACATTTAAAAACTAGCAATAATTAATGAAGTAGTAGCAGGTTACAAAACATCATGAATGTACGTATTATCGAACGTATAATAAAATGATTTGAATTCCCTTTTCAATTTTTGCAAGGTCAGTATTTTTTTCTGTCAGTTTTTCAATTTTACTGAAAGCCTCCATCGAGCACTCGAGTGTTATCCGTTCACATTGGTGTAGAACTAGAACCATATTTTTGAAAAAGAAAATCTAATATATTCTTTTTATTTGCAGGCGTTCGAGGAGTTGGAAGAACTACTGTCCTTCCACAATATTTGCATAGCTGTTAAGGAGAAACTGGTGAAGGACTCGGGGGTGGCGGACGAGTCGGCTTACGACAACATCGTGCAGAAATTGCTCACAAAGCCCAGAGCTCGGGGTATGTTTTATTATCCAAAAACGAAACACAATTTATCAAGCAGCATTTTTGCGATGCGAAATTTGTGCGACCGCCCCTCGCGCTCTTCTCTGCCCTCGCTTCCGTTTCATCCCTTAAGTGAACGCTAGAGCGATGATGGCCCACCCGTCACTCACTCGATCGAATTTCTTAGAGAATCATCTCATCCCCACAACCACACCTCCCCTCCAAAATAAAAACGAATAATGTGTTCGAGAGAGAGAAAGAAAATCGGGAAGTCAAACATGTTTGGGGTATGAAAAAATGAAGCCCTCGCGAAGAAGAGGCAAAATGAGATCCCCACTCGATCTTTAATAGATTCCTTAATAGGTTCCCTAATAGCTTATTAACTCGTCCAAATCGATTTCACCGAAGCATCTTCAATTTATTCCTCCGATGTGCTCGGTGTTATGTAACTCACGCCCTAAATGGAAATGGAACAATATTTGGCACTGCGGACGACGCAAATGGGCCGGAAAGGGGCTTCTCACACACATACTATGTTCGTCGTCTATTTTTATTTTTTTCTCTTTTCACTTTCATTCCCTTCGTATACCTTGAAACAGTTTGCGTTCGACTCTCGGGAAATGGTCGCCTAAAAACCGTGTTAACATTTCCTTTTTATCCAACTACTATATATATATTTGAAATGAACTTTTCTCTTGAATGTTCGTTGACCCAACACATTTATTCCAATTGCAAAAGGAAGGAAATGTTTTCAGTTTCTCTCACAAAAAAAAAGATTATTGTCATGATCTATTGTTTATATTTATTCAGTTAACGTACACAACACGTACATAAATTATAGAACGCTAATCAAAATATCAATTCTGTATATAAATACATATGCTTTCACTTTTTTTCATGAACTCTCTGTTTGTTCGTACAAACGTACACCTTTTTCATACAATCGTACATTGTTTATAATGGACTTGTTTGACATATTTTGTTATTTTCATAGGTTTACTTTAAAATAATACAAAGGTTTTCTGAATACAACTTTGTACTTTCTACTTTATTAATGAATAAACTGTTATTAAATGAGAAACTTAATATAATAACCAGCACTCAGTTAACGTACATAATGCGTACAATGCCCCAATATGACTTCGGCGTATATCAAAGATACAATACTAATACTTCATTGTTCAATTTACTTTATGATACATTATTACAGATATTTCGTTCAAAGGAAACTAAATAATCATGTTCGTATCATCGAACGTACATTAAACAGAAGGATAGCTGATTTGAAAAGATATATAGAATGATCAATTTTCTTAAAAATGAATATGAAAAATGATTCATAATTCAAAATTTAAAACAAATCACAAAATTATTATTTTTTCTTCCAATAGATTGAAACAGTTTATGTTGAACTCTATAAAATTTTACCTAAAACAAGATTTCTCTTCCTTTGCAACTATTATATATATTTAGATAAATTGAATAAACTTTTCATCTCATTCTTTGTTTGCTCTAGAACCAGTTTATTCCAATTGCAAGAAGAGTAGTAGAAGGAAAATCCTCTGCTTGACTCGTAATTCGATCCCGATGCAACTGTCGTACAAACTCCGAATTCAATTAAACTTTTAAACGAACGCCTTCATTGGCCGGAAACTTGCACCGAATGAAAATAATCACTGCATTCGTTGTTTTTAGTTCCGCTTGGGGAGGGGTTTGGATTCTACTATTATTTATTTTTATTTTTCATTTTGTTTGTGTTTTTTTTTACCTGCCTTTGCTGCTTTCGGAATCTGTTAGGTAATCCGAATTAAAAGTGCACGAACGCACAGAAGGTTCCACAAAATAATAGGTATGTGCACTGCAGAAAAGTTTAATTAGATTTCTTTTTTGCGAGAATTAGTACAACTTCAATTTTAATTAAACATATAGAGTTCATGGCTTCTCTTTGAATACATTTATTTTTATCATTTTATAAAATTTTTATATAAAAACGAAATATACTAAAAAAAGAACTAAATAGCTTACTGAGTAATTAAATAAAGTCAACGAATTTTTAACTTTGTTGATGAATTTCAAGCGAACCGCCAATGCCATAAATCTCATTAAAAACCTATTGGAAAGGCCATAGTTTTTTCCTTAATTTGTAAATTTTAGATTACAATTATCGTATGCTATTAACAAATAATTCAATAAAATGTCAAAACCTGTATTTTTAAGAAAATTATCCAAATCTCAGTTATTAATTAAGATTAAGTAACAGTTGTTATATCTAAACATTCGCAATGGAAGTTTCCATCGTTGACACTAATAAAATTTAGGAATATGTTTACAGTTTTTGAGTAAATTTAGAAAATATTATCAGATTAGTATATTTCTAAAAGATTGAGTATATCGAAATCCACTGTCAAAATCAATATTTCTGATATTTTAGATTATTTTAATACACTCTCTAGTTGTTCGAACAAACGTACAATTAATTTATAGGAATGTACATTATAGACATTTATTCATAAGAAAGTACATTTTATTATTGGACTTTACCACTTTTGAGAGATTGGGTATATCAAAATCCAATATTGATGTTGTACAAGGATGATCATTTTCATGTTTGTAATTGCATTAATCACTACACATGGATGCGAACGTCATTAGAATTGTCGTGATCAAAGGAAATGTTTCTGCAGTTCCGTGAATTATTGCATCCTGACACCAGTCATTTGGGGAATCACTCAGATGCGCTCTAGTTACTACTAATGAGGCATTCCGAATTACAGGTATAATTTAACAGGAGCATTACGGTTATCCAGGATCTATGAAGATACCAATTTTCCGCACGTAGTTCCATGCAGGCTGTGCATGCATTATTATAAACTAGTTCTGTATGCTGAAGGATGACAGTCCTTTGGAAATAGGGTTTTCGGAGACGCCGACAAAAATGTATTTACATTTACATATTGGTGTATATATACTAAGTTTATTATTCGTCAGAGAAGACATTTTCAACAGAAATGCAATCTGATATGCATTTGGTTAGATGCACTTCTCGGTATATTTTGTTATGTATAAAATTGCTTTCCACGCTCATCAGATCAATGTTGATGCAAGCTACTGCCTTCATCCTATTATCGACATCCAAGGTCGTTTTATCCCTTAGACACACTCAGGACCCACTTTTTTTTTCTAGGGTCCATGGGACTATTTCGGACCCACGAAAAATAATTGAATCAAGTTCCTGATCGTCATCTACTTAACTAATGCCTATGGCCCACGACAACCTTATTACTGTCGACATCAACATGAAATTCATAATAATTGGTTCCACTGTACGTTGCATACGTCGACCAATCTGATATAAATAATAGAAATGCTTCAGCCAGTATCGATTTTCTGTTCTTATGCAAAGTTGCGTCGGCTTTCGTTGCACGATAATTTAACTCCATCCGACACATTCCAACTGCAATATTTTACAAACTCCTTGCATAATTCAATTTTAATCTGATTTCGAACCTTCGGCGCCTTCGTAATTGATGATGTCGATGAAAATATAAATGGAAACGGAATTACCACACGTTTTGATTTGTTTTTACTTACTTTACATTTTCGTTTCTTCGCATCACAAACAATATTTCATTCAAACTGTAATTTCAAACTAAATTTCAATTTTGTGTAATATCTTAAATTTTTTTAATTGATTTAACTATAGATCATAAATTGATTTCGTAATAGATTTCTTCCATTCAAATTACTTATTCGAAGTCAAAGGAAGGTTCATAACCTTCGAACCTTGCCCATTATTTCAGACACTAAGTATTTTTTATTGTTTTGTAATAATTAAGCTAAAAAGAAATTATATAAACTAATTCAATTTCATAATGACACTTGTAATGCATGCTTTGAAGAAAGTAATACTTTTAAATAGTATACATCCATTAGAAACTTACTAAATTACATACGCAAGTGTATATAATACCACTTTATGATCAAACTCTTGCTAAAAACTTATAACTATAGAATTGTTTATCTTAAAATCAGTTAAACTAAGATAATATCTTAATCAGACTTCAATGAATGGAAAATATGCGAATACTTCGTTGAATAAATTACTATAATCTTACGGATTAAATCAGTCAAGTAATGTACATGTAAACTTGTATGTATATAAACTTTTAATAAATAATTTTGGAAAAAAATAATTGTATTGTATAAACTTAGGAAAACATTGAAAATCTTTAATTTTTATATAGACTAATTAAATTCAGTTCACTTGTAGTAGTTTTTAATTGAGTTTTGTTTATTTTGTACATAAAATATATTAAGAAAAAATGATTAATGTAAAGAATAAAACTATTTATTAATTTAAACATTGTATGAAAACCTGATATAAAAAAAGTTTTTACGCTGAGAAATGTAGAATGAAACCGAAACAACTAATGGAATTCCTTGAAATAAAAAAAAACGGAAATAAACAAAATGTATGTTAAATTGTATGACAAACGCAGGGACATTAAGGACGACGAATTATGCAGTACACTTAGTAAAAAAAAGTGTATGATAATGCAACGTTCCAAGGGTGCATTAATAACAATTACGACCGGTATGAGTCTGTGCATTTTTGTCGCGAGAAACTTTCGTTATATAACGCTAAAATATTTTATTACTCTGTGGCGGAGTGAAATGTGGCTTTCGTTTGCGAAAGTTTCGTGGAGGAGGACATCGAACAAATAAAAAGACAAACAAAAAAAATGAAACTTTCAAAGACAAACTGAGTGAAAAGGATGTGCCCGTAAATTCAGGTAATTTAATTGGGGATGCGCAAAAGCGTTATTGCACAGTTTTGAAGATTTAATGAAGATTTTTGTTCGGGAACCGGACGAAAATTGTATTAGCAAAGTGAGGAAGTAGTTTCAGAAGTTTTTATCATCCTCCTGGCGTCTCGGAAATTGCTAGTTGTTTTTTCATTTTACTTTTATTTCTTCCGAACTACACTTTACTTTCATTTTCATAAGTTAAAGAAA